AGGAACAAGATGGGAGCGAGTACTGTGCCTTGTGGAACAGAGCTTTTCACCGTAGCTGCCTCGGACTTTACTCTGTTGACGACTACTCTCTGTGTTCTGTTGGAGGAAATTATAGATCCATCGACCGACTTTTCCCTGTTTATTCCTTTAGCACGCATTTTGTGCGCTATTACGCCATGGTCACACTTGTCGAAGGCTTTTGCAAAGCCTGTATATATTACATCTGCATTCTTTTTGTCTTCTAGTGCATTTAGGACCTTGTCGTAGTGGTCCAATAGTTGAGACAGGAGCGACCTGTTCTAAACCCATGTTGCCCTGGGTTGTGTAACTGATGGGTTTCTAGATGGGTGGTGATCTTGCTTCTTAGGACCCTTTCAAAGATTTTTATGATATGGGATGTTAGTGCTATTGGTCTGTAGTTCTTTGCTGTTGCTTTACTGCCCCCTTTGTGGAGTGGGGCTATGTCTGTTGTTTTTAGTAACTGTGGGACGACCCCCGTGTCCATGCTCCCTCTCCATAGATGGAAAAGGCTCGTGATAGGGCTTCTTGCTTGCAGTTCTTGATGAACACAGAGTTCCATGAGTCTGGCCCTGGGGCAGAGTGCATGGGCATGTCATTATATCGCCTGTTCGAAGTCATTTGGCGTCAGGATAACATCGATAGGCTTGTGTTAATCAAATTTTGTGGCTCTCTCATAAAAAATTCATTTTGATCTTCGACTCTCAGTCTGGTTAGCGGCTTGCTAAAAACTGAGTCATATTGGGACTTGAGTAGCTCACTCATTTCCTTGCTGTCATCTGTGTAGGACCCATCTTGTTTAAGTAGGGGCCCAATACTGGACGTTGTTCTCGATTTTGATTTGGCATAGGAGAAGAAATACTTTGGATTTCTTTCGATTTCATTTATGGCTTTTAGTTCTTCCCGCGATTCCTGACTCCTAAAGGATTCTTTTTACCCTTAAGTTCGATGCTTGCTATTTCTCTGACCAGTGTCTCCCTACGCATTTCAGATATATTGACCTCTTTTAGCCGCTCTTTATTCTTTTCCGTCGCCTGAAAAAGGGAGCGCCTGTCTCTTTCTGTTTTACATCTACTCCTCCTTTTTCTTAGAGGAATAAGCCTTGTGCATACATCGAGTGCCACCGAGTTAATCTGTTCTAGGCATAAGTTGGGGTCTGTGTTGCTTAGTATATCTTCCCAGCTTATATCGGTTAGGACTTGGTTTACTTGGTCCCACTTTATGTTTTTGTTATTGAAGTTGAATTTTGGTGAATGCTCCCTCGTGACTAATCTCATTATGTCGGTCTGGGGCTCCGCGCATACATGACTGAACCTCAATTATGTTGTGATCTGAGTATATTTTTTTGATATGGTGATATTTCTTTATCAGATCATCATTATTAGTGAAGATGAGGTCAGTGTATTCTCCATCTAGTAGGCTCTATTATTTGCGGGTTTAAATTGAATTTTGTGCAGAGATTTAAAAGCTCGCGTGAGTGTGAGTTTTCATCAGAGCTGCCTCCGGGTTTTTATTACTGCAACAATATTATTTGCTATATTCCTCCATTTTAGGTGCCTTAATTTGAAATCCCCCAGGAGCAAGATGTTGGGTGCAGGAGCTGGAAGGTTTTCCCAGACAGTGGTAAATTTTTTAAAACAGCTGTTCCTGGAATTGCGGGGATGTTGCAATCCGGAGGCTTGTAGACTATCACAATGACTATTTTTGGGTTTTCTCGACCTTTACTGCTAAAACTTCCCACTACATCATTTGAGGCATTTAGCAGTTCTGTGCAAACAAGTGACTCTGCAATGTACAGGCCAAACCCCCCCCCCCTTTTGCCTGTTCACTCTGTCACATCTGTATAGGGTTTAACCTGGGACCATATTCGTTGTCCAAGTGAAACCTTTATGTGGTCTCAGTGAAAGCCGCGAACATTGCCTTTGCCTCTGCAAGCATCCACGGATGAAAGGTATTTTGTTGTTTTTTTGCTGGCTTTAGACCCTGTATATTTGCAAAGAAGAAGTTATCGGACTGGGGGGTATTGTTGGGACTGGGGGGGGGGGGTTTTTTTCCGGCATTAGTATCTGTACTGTTGGTTTGGAGTGGAGGCCATCGACTTTTGGTTCCACTCCAGGAATGACTGGATTTGGTGTACGATTTCTGCCATTTCCTGCCAGTTTTTTTTCCTTCCTGGCACTAAAAAACCTCTCCCTCTTGAGTGGCTGTGGCTACCCAGGTTTTCCCCCTGGCCTGGATGTTTTGTATCTTTTTGTCCCCTTTAGATGGGATGCCTGGGAATTTAAGTTATAGCAAGTCTTTCCGTACTGAAGAGGTACACAGTTCAGGGTGAAAAAGCTTACAGGAAGGGAGTTTGCATTTTCCTGTTGTCATATGGGCATGGGATTTCCTAGGGTGGTCATAGTTGCACGTCCCATCTGTTTTTCCAGATTTCCCATGCCAGCAGAAAACCGAGTGCATATATGTGCACAGGTTTGGGTTTCCGTTTGCCTTGGGTTTCTGTGACTGATTCCCTGTTGGTGCATGTTTCCCTGTCTTACTTCTATCCTCCCTAGCACCAACAATGGAGCTCCCACCAGTTGTTTTTTGGTAATATATCCTCACTATTGCTAGTGGAGGGCCCTTGTTTGCTATTTCCTGCGGTATTTCTAGTTTGCAATATGGTTTTATCTTATCTTTGACTACACCTTGTTTCCCTACTATGGCTCCTGTCCCCCATGAGGTCATTTATAATGTATTCCTTCCTGCGTATAATTCCCGACACCTGGGCAAAACTCCAGCTCACCATTACTGTCTCCCAGGACAGCATCTTCAGCTTCCCCATTTTGTCTCCCAGGACAGCATCTCCAGCTTCCACCATTACTGTCTCCCAGGACAGCACCTCCAGCTTCACCATTACTGTCTCCCAGGACAGCAACCCCCCAGCTCCCCATTACTGTCTCCCAGGACAGCACACTATCAGCCCCCCATTACTGACCAGGACATCATCTCCAGCCTTACAGTTTCTGACTACATGGCCAGTATCAAGGCAGTACCATTCAGCCCGGACTTTTTATGTTCCCATCTGTTGTAGAAAGCTTCCAGGTTTTCTATGAAAGCAGCTTTGATGTTGACCTCTTTTAATACCCTTGTGATTTTAGTCCACAGATTTATCTCATTTGGGCATACCCAAAAACACTTCCCTGTTTTAAAAACTGCTTTGTCGCTAGTTCTTGGATATCTGCACAAGGGCGTGACACCAATTTCCACAAAAATGACAATTTATGCATGTGGAAGGGCCCCTTTGTTTGACTGACCAAGACTACACACACTTCATAATGATTTTAATGGTTGATTTACTGCAATTCTACTAGCAACCTCTTGAATATTCTATTAATAACCTGCTAGGTGGTGCACAACGAAACCGTTTGAAAAACCCTCCAGGGTTCGGACCAGTCAAGGGTTCGGACCAGTCAAGGGTTCGGCCCCTAAAGGGGTTTGGGACCAAAAGGGGTTCACCATCAAGGGGTTCGGACCACCCTTCTGATCGATCGGGGGTCACTTTTTTTTAAACCATACTGGTCGGTGATTTGAGCAACACATAAAGGATCTACTGAAATTATCTACCCGGTAATATGTGATTTGATTGATAAAAAAAGTTAACTTGCTTTAAAAGCCGGGTGACTGCTGGCACTCCTACAATGACAAACGTCAAAACCTCAACCCTTGTTTTTTCAATCGCTGTATCTATTTTTCTTTTTTTTTTTTCCGTCTCCACCACAATAAATCTATATTATCACTATAGTTGCGGGTCAATTTGGAGGAAGGACGCTTTTTTTTGTATAATAATTGCTTCTGTTGTGTATATTGCGACCGCTGGTAACTACAGGTTTTTAAAGAAATTCACAGTATACCTGGTATTTCAAGAAAAAGAAACTAATGAAAGCAGTCCACCCACTAATACCATTATAAACTGGTTATTGCTACTACAACACTGTATTTTTGCTATTCACTGGTATCACTAATTATAGCGAGACACTACAGGCAGGGAAAATTTTTAAAAACAGCTGACCTGTGGGGAAGTTTCTGGGGACTTCGGCACCTGCCCTATAGGGTTATCACTTCATTTACAAAATTTACCTGTTTTTCAAAAGACACTTTAAAACCTTTTTAAAAATATCTAGGGAGCCACTGTATATACACTATACCTATGTATACTCAAAGTTTTCCCGGGGGACTTTTTTTTCCTCGACCCCAAAGTTCAATTATTATTATTTTTTCACACGGGACAGTCCCAAGCAAAAACTATTCTCCTTTTTTTTTTATCTGACTACTGTTCATTTTGAGGAGCGCTGCCTCCAGTTCCCCAGGCGCAGATGAACCAAATGGGTTTAGCGCCTCCTCTTCTTTTCTTTTTCTTCACCACAATAATAATATAATTGGTGGCCCGTGGCCTGGTGACAAAAGCTATCGCTGGACACGCTGAGGGTCCGGGTTCGATTCCCGGCAAGGGTAAAAACATTGGGAGTGTTTCCTTACACGGGTTGTCCATGTTCACCCATCAGTATAATGGGTACCTGGGTGTTAGTCGACTGGTGTGGGTCGCATCCTGGGACAAAACTGACCTAATTTGCCCAAAATGTTCTGCATAACAAGGAAATTTCTATATAATAATAATATTAATAATAATAATAATAGTTTATTAGGACATGATACATAGTTGTGCAAGGTATTATAGTAGTTGGGTGTACATGTCAAAAGCCCCTTGTATGCAGAGCATTATGGGCAGTAGTGTGGCATTGATGCAACAAAAAAAAGGAAATGGCCTGACCCGGGCCGGGAGAGTACCGGCGAATAAAAAAAAAAATCAAAGTGACTTCCACTGGTGTCCTTGCTAATAATTAATAATAATAATAATAATAATAATAATAATAATAATAATAATAATCTGAGCAAGAGAAGGACAGCTCTTGTTCCTCAGATCACAAGCCCTCCCTATACATCAAAGGATCCCTAACGAAGGGATGATTCATATAAAGCGTGTAGGGCGCCCCTGGCGGCGGGCAGCAGTACTACTGGCAACAACACAGCTGGTCCGGCCTTCACAACATGATACCTCTCCGGCTCATAATAAAATCTGTTCCTGTATTAAGCAGAGGCTTTAAAACCTCTGCAAAATATGGAGGAGAGTGAGTATATCTGGCAAACCTTTTCGTGAATACAGTAAACTGTTCCTACATTACACAGAGGCTTTAAACCCTCATTAAATCGTGGAGGAGTGCGAGTATCACTGTTGAACTTCTGCATGATTCCAGTAAACTGTTTCTACATTTAGCAGAGGCTTTAGAGCCTCACTGAATGAAGGAGGAGAGTGAATATCCCAGGCTAACTTCTGCAGGATTGCAGTAAGGCTCAATAGCGGGTATGTGACAATTTTGAAGGGTTCTAAGCCATCCCTTCAAGGGAGATTCCTTGACGATGGTGAGGGGCTCTTGATCTGGGGAATTGAATCTGTGCTCCAGTTCCCTGAATTGAGTCTGAATGCCTTCCAGTCAGCCTCCCTCCACAGGCGCTGTATAATCCCTACGAGTTTAGCGCTCCCCCATGATTATAATACATGTTCTAAGCCGTGTCCCTTCAAGCCTTGATTTTAAAGGGTGTTATGCATTTGTATGTATTACGTATAGTTTGACTAGCTCGAATATCGGTTTAATGTGAATTAATGCAAGGCTTCCCCTCAAATCGTGTAAAATTTACGTAGAATTTGAAGTGTGAATTTCAATAATGTGACCACTTCACAGGATTCATTACTCACAATAATCGAGGTCTAGCTTTATGTATGTGTTTTATTTGTTTGTTTATTTACAGGCATACCTAGCTAATACAGCACCCACTTTAGGGCACTTTACTAGTATGGTATTTTTCAATTAAATTCATATTTATTTTTTCGGCAATTCAGTTGACTCTGAACTGAATTAAGCGAGGTGAAGCTCAGATGATGAAGCTCCACTATCCTCTTTAGCCTTCCTTCAATAATTACTACTTGTAAAACCTTCATTCACTTAATAAATGATAATATAAACATGTTTTTAGGCTTTTATATGCACTGGAAAGTAAAAAAAAAAGTGATTTGCTTTACAGTGATGTTGACTTTACAGCGGTGGTCTGGAACCTAACCTGCTGTATTACCGAGGTAGGCCTGCATTTATTTATTTATTTACTTATCCATTCACACACATTGTCCCTCAGTCCAGAGCAGGATTCGAACCTGCTAACTCTACATGAAAGCACACACTACTTTTGCCACACAGCCAGACCCCAGATAAATAAGGGTGCCTAGCCTAAGCTAGGAGGTGTATCCCCTACCTCAGAGCACCAGGTTTGTAAATTATCTTGTCAAATTCTGCCACATGCAGGTTATGTATCACTGTACTAAAGATATTTTTATCATAACCAATAATTTTTTGATACTGGAGGATATCCTAGGTCAAGTCATCATAACCTTAATTTCTTTTATGTTTTGTTGAGGATTTGTAGGGCCATTACAGCTTATCCCATAATGGGATCTTTTTTCTAGTTTTTGGGGATGAACTAGTGCCCAAATCTGAGCTGGAATTGGGAAGGGGACAGGCATTTCCTTCATAAATAAACACAGGCTAATGAATAAAAAGTCACAATATTGAGACTGGAACAATTTACCAAAAACCCACACTTAAGATGACATTTCAATCCATCCTTCTCCTCCCCTAGAGGGGAGGAGAAGGTTCATGAGAGTAGCAGTGGTGATGGTGGCAGTGGCTGCTTGTGGTAGACAGAAAAAAGAAGAGCCAGTCACAAAGCAGGAATGGTTATCGAATTCTCAGTTGCCTTTCCTTGATGTTCGTGTCCACCACCCTGAGACTGGCTTTTCTTTTTCTCTCTACCCCAAACCTGTGCACAATGGGATTACTATGCACTACTATTCTTATCTATTCCTTGACTGAAATTTTCACCCTTTACAGTTCATTCTCTCACCTTGGCTATCCTTCCTTTTTTCTAGACTGCCTACTCTCATGCTAAATAGATTTTCTTCTCTCCCAGACACACTTCTGTGAAATCTATTCTTTCCCTTACCTACATTTCCAGTCTTCAGAATCACCCTCTGTCCTCTAGTTATCAAACTTGATTTTCATCAGACTAATACCCTTCACACTGATCTTGATCATATTTCTCCTATCACTTTGGTGAAATGAGCCACTCTTTTTCTGACAGCCCTGAAAAGCACAAAAATGTGTTCACCTTGGTGATACCAGCGATGCTTATTTCTGTCATGTCAGAGATCACAGCCATCCTATTAACTGGTCTTCTCCTGGAACTCCCTACTCTTCTAGCCTTGCAATCAAAACCTGGCTTCAGGCTAGGCTGTGAGGGTAGAAAAGACCTTTTGAAACCAGTCACATGTATATGTCATCCACAACAGAGCAAGATCCAGCATCAGAGAGGTCAAAAGCTCAGTGCCCCAAGGCACTGTCCTGGCACCTCTGCTGTTTCTCATCTTCATAGCAGACATAGATAAAAACACTTGTCACACTTTTGTATCATCATTTGCAATGACACTAAAATAAGCATGAAAGTCACTATGGTAGAGGACACTGAAAAATTACAGGAAGACATAAGCAGGGTTTTCCAGTGGGCAGTGGAGAACAACATGACGTTCGATGGTGATAAGTTCCAGCTGCTTAGGTATGGAAAGAATGAAGAACTCAAAAGGAACACTATATACAAAACTCAAGAAGGCCACCAAATAGAACAAAAGGAACATGTAAAGACCTGGGAATAATTATGTCAGCTGACCTTTCTTTTAAGGAACATAACAAGACAAAGATCACAACAGCCAGGAAGATGACTGGGTGGGTATTGAGAACTTTCAAAATAAGGGAAATAACGGCGTTGGTTCATTCATTAATGATTTGCCGGTACTTCCGGCTCAGGTCTTCTCCAGGTGGCGACCTGGCGTGCAACACCGTTGGAGACACTTTAAATATCTAGTGCTCCCTCATTTAGAATATTACTCTGCTGATGGCCCCGTGTAATCAGGAGAAATATCAGAGCTGGAACACATGCAGAGATCATTTATGGCTCACATTGAGCCAGTAAAGCACCTAAATTACTGGGAACGCCTTCAAGTCTTGAACATGTACTCATTGGAGCGGAGGAGAGAGAGATACATGATAATATATACCTGGAAAGTACTCGAGGGCCTGGTCACAAACTTCACGCTGCCATAACATACTGGAGTGAGAGATATGGGAAGAAGTGTAAAATAAACCCAGTGAGGAGCAGGTGTGCAGTGGGGACAATAAGGGAACACTGTGTCAACATCCAGGGTCCCAGACTATATAACATCTTACCAGAAGATATCAAAAACACAGCTGGAACAAGTGTAGAAGCCATCAAGAGGAAACTGGACAAGTATCTTCACCAGGTGCCAGATCAACCAGGCTGTGATGCATATATGGGGCAGCAGGCCTCCAGCAGCAACAGCCTGGTTGACCAGGCAAGCACCAGATGAGCCTGGCCTGTGTCCGGGCTCCGAGAGTAGCTAAACTCTCGAAACTTTAAAGGTATATCAAAGGTACATACATTTATTGATATTTTACTACAGTTTTTGTTTTAAGTTTTAATTTACTTCATTGTTTTGATGTGGGAAAGTCATTTTTCAGAACTTATCTCACACTTCACTTAATATACAGGTACGGTATCATGTTCAAGGAGTAAGCATATTTTACTGTTGTTTCATAGGCAATGATCACAAATTAGACATTTGATAATTGAGGTCCTCTATATAGGCTTATTAGTATTAAACTGCCAACTCATTCTTGCAGGTGGACTTACCGTACGGCTCCTCCACCTCCACCAAAATCAATAATAATGAAGGCCGAAATAATGGGAGCATTTATGTGGTGGTGGATCCTCTACCATCTTTTTACAGAACCAGAACATATCACTGTGAGTATATCTTATACAGTATTTTCAAGGTGTGTCTTTGTTCAGTGACTGACTACTAAATGCAAGAGTTGAAGCTACCCTTCCCTTCATTTACAGAAGTATTTGCCAGAAGCTTGCAATATTTTAATTTACCACTGCTAATACTTTCCTCATTGACTTTTCTAGAGCTTTCAGCAAATGCTTTCTTAGCTTCATTCACTCTTTTCATAAGAATTTTTTTAACCTTGTAAATTAACCCTTTATTACAGATTCACTAACTTCATTGGGTTAACCATATTTGTATGTTAGATCTTCCAGGCATTGGCTTGTTCATTGAAGTTTGAAGTACCTGCCTTTGGACTTCACTGATTGAACCACTTTCACATACAAATTTAACTTATATAGTTATGGTAGTAGAGATCAATAATAAAAGCTTGTTAGGAGTGGGAATGATATAAATGTGTTTTACTGTGTTTTGATATTGTAATAAAAAGTTGAAACAGTCAACTTTTAAGAAGCTATTCATATTTTAATTGCTTTTATTTGTATAAACAGTTAATATAAGCCACAATACCATGACTAGAATTAAGAGGGAAATGATATATGACATTTCTTTCCTTCTTGAACCATTCTTGACTTAATGATCCAAGACTGACTGAAATTGTCTCAGGTTTCCTCTACTCATTGTAATTCACACATGAGTTACACTAAAGTGGTTATTTCTTGTGCCATGTTTATATATAAGTAGTTTTTGGGAGTTTAAGAAAATATGTTGCAGCAGACTGGAGTTAGTTATGGTTCTGATTGCCAGATTTTGTGATGTGATTATTGGCTTGAGGTAGTTGCTAGTTGTTGATTACTTGGCACATAAACCACACTAGATGAGGAATGAATAGTAAGGAATACTTCAAAAATACACATACCATTTTAATATTGTTTCAAGTTTTTTGTTGAAGTTCAACTTGTCAAATGTAAGTTGCTCTTTATTATAGGAGTAATTGTAGTCCTTGAGGCATTTTTTGCTGCTTTCATTTTTTTTTGCAAACAAGTATGTACAGCACAAAAACTGTCTAGTTTTTTTTTTTTTTACATTCTAGTCTGCAGCTGTAGTGGACATTAATCCATTTTGAGTGGCTCATGTAGATCTCCGTTTGAGCACAACTCCTCAATAAGCTGAGGGTAATTCTTGGCCTAGATATAAAGATAATGGTCTGTGTCGTGATTTGCACAGTATAAATAAAAAATAAACTGCCCCAAAGGTGCTATTATGTGAAATGTAAGACTCTGAACTTGTCTCTCATTGAAATAGTGACTTTGAATGTTTTCAAGATTTTTTTAATATTTATTGTAATCATATAGTTTTATTATGTAGTTAATTAATTTTGAAAATACAGGAAACTGTGCAATTATTTATGATTGGAATTAATATTCCAGATATTGTTGATTGTTGGAACTGAAGATGGGGGGAGGTTCCCTGGATTTTCGAAAACACTGAATTAATGCATTTTTTTGCAATCTTGTGTTTTTTGTTTAATAAGCGCTAAGATTACCAATATCATTATTTTCAGGGTAGAAATTCCCTATCCTTATGATTTCCAAGTGGACCAATGCTGAGCTTGGTATTCCTCCTGATGATGAAGACTGAAGACTAGATGTCCTAATTTCATGCAGGGGGAAAACTTAAATAATTTGAACTATACCGTTCTAAATGTGGTAATATAGTTGTGTAATAAGAGACATGTAATATGGCTGTCATCAATATCCCATTTTATATTCTGTGAACTCTACATTTAATATTAAATTTTTAAGGCATATACAGTACTGTAGTTAAAATCAATGTTTGCTGAAATATAGGAAAATGAATTTTGCTTTTATTATCTTCAGATTCTTATACTGTAAACTAATGAAGGCCTCATATGTTGTAAATATACATTTAATTTTGTTTGTTGGTTGAATTTAAGTGTCTTCCTATATACATTATACTTAAATGCACGCTTTCTTTAATTTTGTTTTTTAATGCTAAAAATGGTCAAACTGAAGAACACTAAATGAGTTTAGCATTTTTTTTTTTACAAATACGTATAATAATAATGAACAGTACTTGATATATGAGAGAGCAAGTGGCTAGTAACCTTCTCCTGTATACATTACTAAAGTTAAAGAGAAACTTTAGTGTTTCTTTTTAGGTCACCCTGCCTCGGTAGGATATGGCTAGTTTGTTGGGAAAAAAAAAACTTGATATATGATGCATCAAATTTGAATTTATTTGTAAATAATTTGATTCATTGTTTTCAGACCATTATGTTGCATATTTTATTTATTATATGTATTTCCCCCTTAGAAGTGAAAAAGAATCCTTCCTCAAGTTATGCATGTCATAAGAAGCAACTAAAATGCTGGGAGCATGGGGCTAGTAACCCCTTCTCCTGTGTATTTTACTAAATGTAAAAGAAGAAAGACTTTTGCTTCTTTTTTGGGTTGCCCCATCTCAGTAGGAGACAGCTGGTGTGTGAAAACAATTCTGCCTTAGGGCGAGTGCCTTGATCCAAAAAATTGGAGCTACCCTCCCCTTCCTTGGGTCAAACCTGATGTCTCCCCTACAACTCCCATTTGTTTGGTGTGCATGATGGGTTTAGCACTTTTCCATGAATATTGTTGTCTGCACTTTTCAAAAAAAAAAAAAAAATGAGGTGGGCCAAAGTAGCCTCTAGTCCCTTTCAAGGAATGTGCCCTGTGAGGGGCTCTTGATACAAGAAAGGGAACCTATCTTTTGATTGCATCTGATTGCCTTGCATTCCCTAAGAGCTGCATAACCTCTCTGAGTTTAGCTCTTCTCATAATTGTAATAATTTGTATACAATCTTGTGCATTCTGAGCATAAATACAGTGGTTCAGTAATTATTTTTGATTATAATAATAATAATAATAATAATAATAATAATAATAAATAATAAAGTTGCAAAGGTTAGTGGACAAGTTTGGGAGTGTGTGTAAAGGTAGAAAGTTGAAAGTGAACATAGACAAGAGTAAGTTGATGAGGGTATCAAATGATTTAGATAGACAAATTGAATATCACATTGGAGAGAGGGAGTATAGAAGAATTTTTTTTTTTTTTTTTTTTTTAGTCGGCAGTCTCCCACCAAAGCAGGGTGACCCAAAAAAGAAAGAAAATCCCCAAAAAGAAATTACTTTCATCATCATTCAACACTTTCACCTCATTCACACATAATCACTTTTTGCAGAGGTGCTCAGAATACAAAAGTTTAGAAGCATATATGTAGGTATAAAGATACACAACATATCCCTCCAAACTGCCAATATCCCAAACCCCTCCTTTAAAGTGCAGGCATTGTACTTCCCATTTCCAGGACTCTAGTCCGGCTATATAAAAATAACCGGCTTCCCTGAATTTTTTTTTATTTTTTTTCAAACCATGTCGCCATTCCTCCCACCGAGGCAGGAGTGGACCCAAAAAGAAAGAATCCCCAAAGAAATACTTTCACCCATCATCAACACCTTTCCACCACACTCGCACATTATCACTGTTTTTGCAGAGTTTAGGGATAAACAGTCTAGAAGCATACACATATGAAGATACACAACAAGTCCTCCAAACTGCCATATCCCAAAAACCCCTCTTTAAAGTGCAGGCATTGTACTTCCCATTTCCAGGACTCAAGTCCGACTATATGAAAATAACCGGTTTCCTGATACCTTCACTAAATTATAACCCTGCTCACACTCCAACAGCTCATCAGGTCTCAAATACCATTCGTCTCCATTCACTCCAAATCTAACACGCTCAGCACACTTGCTGGAAGTCCAAGCCCCTTGCCCAAACCCCCTCCCCCAAAAAAACCTTTACCCCCTCCCTCCAACCTTTTCAAGTACGCCCCTACCCCACCTTCCTTCCCCTACAGAAGAAGTGAATGTTTTCAATTATTTGGGGAGTTTTTGTCAGGAGATGGGTTTATGAACCATAGAATTGATGACAGAAAAAAGGTGAGTGGTGAATTGAGGCATCTGTGGAGACAAAAAACGTTATCTATGGAGGCAAAAAAGGGAAAATGTATGAAAGTATAGTGGTACCAACACACTTATAGGATGTGAAGTTTGGGTTAAAATGCTGCAGCAAGGAGGTGGCTGGAGGCAGGGGAGATGTCCTGTCAAAAGGGCAATGTGTGATGTAAATATTATGCAGAGAATTGGGAGCGTGGAAATTAGGAGAAGGTGTGGAGTTACTAAAAGTATTATAGGCCTGAAGAGGGGTTGTTAAGGTGGTTTGATCATTTAGAGAGAATGGATCAAAGTAGAATGACTTGGAGAGCATATAAAATCTGTAGAGGAAGGAAGGAGGGGTAGGGTCGTCCTTGAAAAGCTTGGAGAGAGGGGGTAAAGGAGGTTTTGTGGGTGAGGGGCTTGGACTTCCAGCAAGAAATGTGTGAGCATGTTGAATGATGTGAAAGTATTTTCTTTTTGGGATTTTTTTTTTTTTTGGGGTCCCCCTGCCTCGGTGGAGACGGCCGATTTTTTTGAAAAAAAATAATAATAATAACAATGCACTAGGTCAGTCGATTCAGAAAGAAAGGACAAAGTTTTTTAGCCACAAATTGTTCATTAATTGTTATCACAGCAAAACAGTCTCTTCTCTGCTCACAATTGCCACCGACTACCTGCTTTTCCTATAGTCTGTGCTATAACACATTCTCCCCAAAACACTTAAATATGATAGTGTATAAGAGCTATTTTTCTAAAGGTTGCTGGTATCAAGGGTTTTTTTTAGTGATTTTTAGTGAATATAATAATGTTCGAAGGCAGAAAGTGGTGAAGGTGAGCACACCAGATTAGGAAAAAGGCAAGTCATGGCACAGTCAGTTACAAAATTGAAAGAATCATTAAAGGTAAGACTTTTCAGAGAGGACAGAAGCTAGAGAAACCATGTCAGGGTATTTTAGGAGAAGCCAGTAGGCTAGAAGACCTTAGGGTGTCTTGAAAGTGAATGGTAGGGATACCTTTTGTTATATCTCCCCCAAGGGAGGTTCTTTGACCCCAGTGAGGGAAGGAGCTCCTGATACAAGGGACAGGACTGTCCCTTTTCAGATCAGTTCTGATTGTTCCCATTCCCTCAGGGACTGTATAACCTACAGCTTTACTGCTTCCCCCCCTCATGAATAATAATAATT